GAAACTCTTTATATGGCCATCGATTCTAAATGACAGCTTTTCAGGAGAGTGTAATCTTGGTTGTAGGTTCTTGCTTTTCATCACTCTGAATATTTCTCGCCACTCCCTTCTGGCCTGCAAAGTTTCTTTTGAGACATCAGCTGACAGCCTTATGGGTACCCCCTTGTAGGTAACTAGCTGCCTTTCTGTTGCTGCTTTTAAGATTCTCTCTTTGTCTTGAACCTTTTGCATTTTGATGATGATGTGTCTTGGTGTGGGCCTCTTGGGGTTCATCTTGTTTGGACTCTCTGTGCTTCCTGGACTTGTATGTCTGTTTCCTTCACCAAGTTAGGAAAGTTTTCTGCCATTATTGTTTCAAACAGGTTTTCGATTTCTTGTTCTCTCTCTTCTCCTTCTGGCACCCCCAAGATGCGAATGTTGGCACGCCTGAAGTTGTCCCAGAGGCTCCTTACACTCTCCTCATTTTTTTGGATTCTTTTTTCTTTTTGCTGTTCTGGTTGGGCGTTTTTTGCTTCCTTATATTCCAAATTGATGGTTTGCTTTTTGGATTTACGTACTCTAGTATTGAATCTGTGTAAATTATTCTTTATTTCAGTTAATGCCTCCTTCAATTCTGAGTGGTCCTTTTTCATGCTCTTGAGGCCCTCCCTAAGTTCACTGAGGTTCTCACTGAGTTCATTGAGCATTCTTATAAGCAGTATTTTGAACTCAGCATCTGTTAGATTGCTTATCTCCATTTCGCTTAGTTTTTTTTTTTATTGGGGTTTTGTTCTGTTCTTTCATTTGGGACCTGTTTCTTTGTCTTCTCATTTTGGCTGCCTCCCTGTGTTTGTTTCTGTGTATTACTTAACGAGCGGTATGGGGCCAGCTGAGACCAGATGCTACTCGTTTGAAAGAATTTAGGAAAAACCTGAAGCAGGATCCAGGACAGACCAATCCTATGGTTAAGCAACTGGCAACAGCTTAGGTGGGCCTGAAAGTTAGGCGGGGCGGGGCGGGGCTTCAGGGAGTCAACAGGGCGGGGCTACCAGTGTGAGCCAGGTTGCTGGAGGCCCAGATATGGCGGCTGTCTGCCGCCCCAAGAAAGGACTCACCAAAGGAACAAATGCCTCTGACAACATGTTTGTCCCTGAGAAAGCCCCCTCTCCAGCCCTCGCTCCAGTGCCAAACAGCTCAGTTCTTCCCTGTATGTCTCTGGTGCCCCTCGAGCTGCCTCCCCTCCAAGCTTAAAGGAAGAGAGTCCGATAAGTCCGTGCGCGGGCCCTTTAAGGAGCTGCCTGGGGCTCCAGCTGTGTCAGCTTCCCTGAGCCTCAGTTCCCGCTGGTTTTTCCAGCCAGAAGTTATGGGGACTTCTCTTCCTGGCACTGGAACCCTGAGCGTGGCATCTCGTGTGGGACGGGGACCCCTCAGTTCTTAGGAAGTATCCTCCTGATTTTTATCCGCCACACACGGATGTGAGACCAGCCCGTCTCGCCACCAGCCCTCGCGCCTCTGCCCCTCCTACCAGTCTGGATGTGGCTGCTGCTTTAATTTCGTAGTTGTAAGACTTGCATTCAGCTTGATTTCAGGGAGTTTTGAATGATGGTTGTTTTGTAGTTGTAACTTTGATGTGGTTGTGGGAGGACGAGATACCGCGTTTACCTACGCCACTATCTTGACCGGAAGTCCCCTTCTCTACTATTGAATCTGTGTAAATTATTCTTTATTTCAGTTAATGCCTCCTTCATTTCTGACTGGTCCTTGTTTATGCTCTTGAGGCCCTCAGTAAGTTCGCTGAGGTTCTCACTAAGTTCATTGAGCATCCTTATAAACAGTATTTTGAACTCAGCATCTGTTAGGTTGCTTAACTCCATTTTGCTTAGTTCTTTTCCTGGGGTTTTGTTCTGTTCTTTCATTTGGGACCTGTTTCTTTGTCTTCTCATTTTGGCTGCCTCCCTGTGTTTGTTTCTATGTATTACTTAATGAGAGGTATGGCACTAGCTGAGACCAGATGCTGCTTGTTTGAAAGAATTTAGGAAAACCTGAAGCAGGATCCAAGACAGGCCAATCCTATGGTTAAGCAACTGGCAGCAGCTTGGGTGGGCTTGACAGTAGGGTGGAGCGGGGCCTCAGGGAGTCACCAGGGTGGGGCAACCAGTGTGAGCCTGGTTGCTGGAGTCCCAGATATGGAGGCTGTCTGCTGCTCCAGGGAAGGGCTCACCAAAGGAACAAAGGCCTCTGACAGCATGTTTGACTCCAGCCCTAGCTCCAATGCCACACAGCTCAGTTCTTCCCTGTATATTTCTGGTGCCCATCAAGGTGCCTTCCCTCCAAGCTTAGAGGAAGAGAGTCCGATAAGTCCGTGCGCGGGCCCTTTAATAGGAGCTTCCTGGGGCTCCAGCCGCCTCAGCCTTCCTGAGCCTCAGTTCCCGCTGGTTTTTCCAGCCAGAAGTTATGGGGACTTCTCTTCTTGGCACTGCAATCCTGAGTGGGGCGCCTGATGTGGGACGGGGACCCCTCAGTCCTCAGGGAGGACCTTCCCAGCTGAGGTGTCCTCCTGATTTTTATTCGCCACACGTGGGTGTGGGACCAGCCCCTCCGCCTCCGCCCCTCCTACCAGTCTCGATGAGGCTGCTTCTTTAACTCCGTAGTTGTAGGACTTATATTCAGCTTGATTTCAGGTGGTTTTGAATAATGGTTGTTCTGTAGTTTAGTTGTAACTTTGGTGTGGTTGTGGGAGGACGCAATACTGCGTTTACCTACCTACACCTGCCATCTTGACCTGTGTTTTTTAAAGCTTTTCTTTTTTTTTTTGCTGGCTATAAAATTTTGGTTGGTAGAGGTTTTTTTTCTTTTTCTTTCAGTGCTTTTAAGATACTTCTCCACTGCCCTCTACTTTGCATTGTTTTTTTCTTTTTTTTTTTTTTTATCCTCACCCGAGGACATATTTTCGTTTTTTGTTCAGATAGAGTGGGAGGGAGAGAGAGGAAGAGAGAGAGAGAGAAACATTGATGTGAAAGGGACACATCGACTGGTCACCACCTGCATGACCCAACCAGGGCCAGGGACAAATTGCAACCGAGGTACTTGCCCTTAGCGGGAACCAAACCCGGGTCTCTCTGGACTGCAGGCCAACGCTTTAACCGCTGAGCCAAACCAGCCAGGGCTACTTTGCATTGTTTGTGATGAGCAATCAGCTGTTATTCTTATTTTTATTTATTTGAATAGGTCATTCTTATCTTTATTTGAATAGACAATATTTTGGGTTGCTTTAAAATTTTTCTATCATTAGTTTTAAGCAATTTGATTATGATATGTTTTGGTGTAGTTTTCTTCATGTTCTTGTGTTTAGGATTTGTTGAAATTCTTGGATCCATGGGCTTATAGTTTTCATCAAATTTGGAAACACTTCAGCAGTTATTTCTTTAAACGTTTGTTCTGTCCCACCCCTACTTTGGAACTCCAATTATCCATATAGTAGGTTACTTGAAGTTGTCTCATTTTGGGTTATTCTGTTCTCTGTGTGTTTTATTTTAGATAGTTTCTGTTACCATTGCTTTACATTAGTATCTAACTTCTTATCTGCTATGAAGGTCATGTAATATATTTCATATCTTGGATACTATAGCTTCCATCTCTAGAAGTTTGATTTGGGTCTTTTTTAATATCTTTCATGTCTTTGCTTAACGTTTTTGATTATATGGAATACAGTTATAATAACTGTTTAATGTCTTTCTTTGCTAATTCTAACATCAGTTCAGTTTCTATTGGTTGATTATTCTCTTTAGTAGGGGATGTCTTTGCATTCCTGGTAATCTTTGAGTGGGTGTCTGACATTCTACCAAGTTCTTCACCTAACAAATTTAACTTAGCTACCTGATACTAGATAATTTTATATTCCACTAAATTTTCTTTCTTCCTTTTTTTTTTTTTTATCCTCACCCGAGGACATTTTTGCATTTATCTTCAGATAGAGTGGGAGGGAGAGAAGGAGGGAGAGAGAGAGAGAAACATCGATGTGAGAGAGACACATCGAGTGGTTGCCACCCACACAACCCCATCTGGGGCCAAGGACAAACTGCAACCAAGGTACAGGCCCTTAGTGGTAACCGAACCCGGGACTCTCTGGTCCGTGGGCTGACGCTCTAACCTCTGAGCCAAACTGGTTAGGGCTTCTCTAAATTTTCTTGAACTTTGTTTTGGATATAGTTAAGTTACTTGGAAACAGTTTGATCCTTTCGAGTCTTTCTTTTATGATGTGTTAGGTGGGTTTGTTGCCATGCTCAGTGTGAATTAGTTATTTCCACTACTGAGGCAAGACCTTCCTGAACACACAATGCCCTGTGAATTATGTGTTTTAACAGTCTATGGAAACAGGCATTGTGGCTCAGTGTGAGTGCCACTAGTACTTTCTCCAGCCAGGGCAAGGAGGATATCCTTTTGGATGGTCTTTTCCTAGCCTCAGAGAGTTTCACACACATTCTCTGATCAGTACTCTGCTGAATACTTGAGGAGGGACCTTCTGCAGATCTCCAGGATTTCCCCCTTGAAGTGCTGCTCTTTCCTGACTGGTACTATGTCCTGTGAACTTCAGCAGTTTTGGTCTCCTTTGACTCTCATCCTCATCTTCTTAATTGAGAAGAGCTAAGGGAATCCTCTGTGCTATGTGCCTCATTGCACCGTCTCTGTGCCATGGCATGGAAATTCTCTCAAGACAATTGTAAGGCCACCTCCTGTGTCTCCCAAATTTCAGAATCACTGCCCTTTGTTTTCTGATGTTTGATATCTTGACAATAGTCCCCTCCCGCCCGTTAGGCTATTTCAAGTAGGAAGTTAAATCGGGTGCCATTGACTCCATCTTCGCTGGAAGAACAATCTGCCCAAAATGTTTTGACAGATGAATAAACTAGTTAGGATATGAACTCTTACATGAATTTTTTCCAACAAAGATTTTTGTTAGTATTTTAAATTCTTTTCATGATAAATTTATTGGTCTAAGTACATTTTCTATTACTTTACAGTTTGCCTCCGAGTATTGATTTGCTAGATAGTCCAGCCTTATTGGAAACAACCATTGTTGATGAAATCAGGGCACCTGACACTGTGGAAACATTGCATTCACCAGGTGAAATTAACACAGCCCCCAGGCAAACTGGATTAGAGGAACCTGAAGTTGAAGGTAAGAGTAAGTAAATGTTCTGTATAATATCAATGGCATCTTTTTATTTTACTTCCCTTTTAAATGAGCTATTTAAGTCAAGAATATTTTATGTAATAGTTAAATTTTAAATTTTAATGTAAAGAGTTATGCCTTCTTGCCTCTTTTTGGCTTAAGGGTCCATTGAAATATTTAAGGTTGCATAATTGAGACCATTAAATATTTGTGTCATTTATGAGTCATTAAATATTTATGAATTTTCAAAGTTGTTTGTTCACTTTATTTCTTGAGTGAAAATTAAGGGAAAAAGTTTCTTTAAAGATTTTTAGGACATAAGATTGAATAGCTTGGACTATTCATTAGCTCCTAGAAAATATTTTATTTTTGTTTATTTATTTAAATTTTTTTTACAAAGGAACCTGCCATTTTATTTTATTTTATTTTTGGTTAGTCTTCACTCGAGGATATTTTTCCATTGATTTTTTAAAAATAAATTGGAAGATAGAAAGGGAGAGGGAAAGAGGAACATCAATATGAGAGAGACACATCTATTGGTTGCCTCCCACATGACCTCACCCAGGGCCAGGGATCAAACCTGCAACCTAGGTACATGCCCTTGACTGGGAATCAAATCCGCGACCCTTTGGTCTGCGGGGCTGATGCTCTAACCACGGAGCAAACTGGCCAGGACGAAAGTATTTTGTTTTTAATGAGGACTATTGCTGCACAGACCCACAAAAATAAACAATCCAGAGAGAAAGCTGGTTTCTTTAACTTTTTTTTTTTTTTATAAAGACATTTTATTTATTTATTTATTTTTAATCCTCATCCGAGGACATTTTTCCATTTTTTGCACAGACAGAGTGGGAGGGAGAAAGAGGAAGAGAGAGAGAGGGAAACTTTGATGTGAAAGGGACACATCGAGTGGCTGCCACCCGCACGACCAACCAGGGCCGGGGACAAACTGCAACCAAGGTACATGCCCTTAGCGGGAACCGAACCCAGGTCTCTCCGGACCGCAGGTGGACGCTCTAACCACTGAGCCAAACCGGCCAGGGCTGGTTTCTTTAACTTTTGAAAAGGTTAAAAAGAAGCAATAAGTTGCACATTGATAATTTCTGTATAATTGTGAATTTGGTTTGATATTAAATTTGTCTTTAAACAAAAGCTTCCTGTTGAATCTCAGTGTAATGTATGTTCATTTAAAAGCAGCTCGTATTGCCATGGCTGGTTTGGCTCAGCAGTTAGAGCATGGCCCACAGACCAAAGGGTCACAGGTTCGATTCTGGTAAGGACATGTACATGAGTTACAGATTTGATCCCTGGCCCCAGTCAGGGTTACATGAGTGGCATCCGATCAATATGTCTCTCTCACATCAATGTTTCTCTCTCTCTCTCTCCCCCTCCCTCCCTTCTACTGTATCTAAAACATCAGTGGAAAAATATCCTCAGGTGAGGTTTAAAAATAAAATAAATAAATAAATAAATGCAGCCTGTATTTAGCCCTGGCCAATTGGAGCATCAGCCCATGGACCAAAGGATCTCGGGTTTGATTTCTGGTTAGGGCCATGTACCTGGGTTGCAAGTTTGATCCCTGGCCCCAGGAGGCAGTCCGCTGATGTGTGTCTCTCTCACATCAATGTTTCTCTCCGCCCCCCCCCTTACATTCTATCTCTATTTAAAAATCAATGGAAAAATATCCTCAGGTGAGGATTAATAAAAAATGAAATCAGCTCATATTTATGCGGCATTTGCCAATTTTGATTTCTATACTAAAATTAGACACCATCTGTAAACATCTCATAGATAACTGCTATTGAGTGTGCTGTTGTCTCTCAAGAATAGTACAGCAATAGTATTTAGTAATTTAGAGATAGGAAATGTTAAGGAAAAGTTACACAGTGATTCTGGTTAACAGAACTGCAGAAGCACTACTGGTATGTGGCATTAACAGTTTGTTATTTGTTCTCTAAGTAACCACTACATGGTTAAACAAATGTTAATATGGTCAAGATTTTATATTCTTATTGATATATACCACGTTTAAATTGTGCTTATGAATTTGAGGTCAGGGAAACAAAAATTAACTTTGATTTATTGTGTTGGTAATTTCAGAATAATGTTCTAATTTTATTTTAAAGGTAGTAGTTAGTTACCGGATTAAGAAAATATCCTCCACTATTGTTTGTCTTTTACTTTCTTTGCCATAATTTCTTTTGGTTAATTTCCAGTTTTTACAGCCTTGACCTAGACTCTATCTTTTGTTAGCAATGATCACTCTTTGTTGCTAGAAAGATGTTAGATAAGAAACTAGGGCCGTCAGAATTTAGATTTAACCAGTAGGAGAACTAGCTTAATATGGAGTATTTCCAGGGTTAAAATGAAAATAGTCACCTATGGAGATGGCAGTATTGATTTTATTTACATTTCATTTTATTTCCATTATATTAATTTAAAAAGTTTTTTTCAGTGCTGCAATATAGAATTGTATTAGCACACATTTGTTTTGTACATACTTTCTAGGAAATTGTACTGGTTTTGCTGAACATGGTTGAATGAACGAAGGATGCCTAAAAAAGAAAAGATCGTATGAGATGTAATAATTCTTCAAATATTTGAAAGCCTGATATAGCAAAAAATTTATTTCATGATGCTTTATTGGTGATTCTTACACCAGTGACTTGAAAGTTAGGGAAGTAGATTTGCAGTCCTTATAGGAAAGAATTTTTTAAATGTTGCTGCCATACATCAGAAATGAATACCATAACAAACAGAAAGTGAGCCCCTCATTACAGAAGATATTCAAGCGGAACTTAAATGCTGTTCAAGTTTTTAAGTTATGACAGAAGAAATTATTGCATAGTGTGAGGGTTTCATCAATAAAATTTAGTTCAGATTTATCTCATTTGATCAAAGTCAATGAAAATTGAGTGTGGTTTTTTTAAATCTTCAGCCGATGATATTTTTCCATTTTTGTTCAGCTAGAGTGGGAGAGAGAGAGAAACATCAGTGTGAGAGAGACACATTGACCGGTTGCCTCCTGCATGACCCTGACCAGGTAGGTCCAGGGATGAACCCCAACTGAGGTATGTACCCTTGACCGGATCAAACTTGAGACTCACTGGTCTGTGGGTGGACACTCACTGCTCAGCCAAACCAGCCAGGGCCAAAATTGAGTGTTTAGATGTTAAGGATTAAGGTCTTAGAATCTTGGTATCCAATTTATTCTTTCTTTTCTTTTGGTTGTAATGTGAACATCCTCATTCACATAGCTGAGTAGTGATAACTAGTAACTTTTTTGTTGTTGTTAATCCTCACCCAAGGATATTTTCCCATTGATTTTTAGATAGAGTGGGAGGGAGGAAGGGTGGGGGTGGGGGGAGACATTGATGTGAGAGACACATTGATTGGCTGCCTCTCGCAGGACCCTGACTGGGGCAGGGAATCTAACTTGCAACCTTTTGGTCCACAGGCTGATGCTCTAACTGCTGAGCCAAACCAGCCAGGGCTAAGTAGTAACTTTTTAAAAAATGGCTTATTCTACAATCTCAGGATGTTTCTCAGCCAAACATATAGCAGAAGAAGCTTTATTTCAACAACAACAAAACACCCAAACTCAACAGTATTAATTTATCAGCATAAGCTAAAGCATTTGTGGTCGTAACATCATCATGTTAAAATTTAGTATCAAATAGTTTGAAGAATAAGAAAACCAGGAGATGACAGTTAAGTAAATGAGTATGGAAGATTTTTGAGATCAGTGTTGAAATAGTGATTCTCGTCACCTGGAGAGTTTTATAAACTACCAGTGCCAGAAAACTACCACCAGAAATTCTGCCATTATTGTTCTGAGGTCAGCTCTGGGAAGCAGTGTTACTTAAAATCTCTACATCTGATTCTAATGTTCAGCCAAAGGAGAGAGCCACTGAATTAATTGCTGGATACTTTTAGATGATCCCTTTGACCAGGAGGAAATGATTTCATAGTTTTTATCTCCCTTGTTTTGCCTGATTATATAGAAATTATTAGGCATTCAACAGCTTTTTTGTCAAGTGACCATGTAAAAATATCAACTCATATCAGTTAGTCTCTGTATAAGGTCATTTAATGTATTATCTTTTCAGTGGTTAGAGAACTTTATTTGTAATGTATTTTTGCAGCTAAGGTGGAACATAATAAATCAAAATGCTTGTCTTGCATCATACCTTATGTTACCAATATATAATATGTTGAATCAGTGAATGAATAAATGTATGTCGTTCATCAGTTTGCTCCACATAGTTTAGTTTTAGGCTGTGTATATTTAGGGCCAAGGAAAGAAAATGACAAAGTACTGAAGTTTGGCAGGAGGAGACTGGATTGTGGTTATGGAAGAAAGGATCAAGTCACAGGTGATCTCTGCCTTTTCTTTGACTTTTTTGACTAGTTAGCCTTCTTAACCACACATGCTATTGAGATTCCATATCTAGTGCCTTTATAGGAGCAGTGTAGATACAGGCCAGTGTTTCTATTTAGGTTAACTCTTAATCAAGTTAATGGGGAGTTACCTGCTTACGGAAAGAAAATATATTTATTCTTTGGTTATCTGGACTCTTACCTTTAATCGATGATACCCGCACACAGCTATGACAGCATGGCAGACTAAAGGGCTATTCTGCCTTTTTTTTTTTTCAGCATTAAAAGATGCATCAGAGAAGCTAAAACACCTTGAGATGGAAAATAGTTCATTGCCATCCCCTCGTCCCAACATTGATGTTAACATCAACAACCAGGTATTCAGACTTCTCCTTTGCATACCTGCCACACATCTCCAGACTTCCCAGAAAGCCTTTCTTTTTAAAGCTAATACTTTTCTCTTTTCTTTTGCTGGGAAATCTGTCTGTGCTGAACTCTTATAAATCTGTTTTCTCATTTAAAAAGGAGAAATTTTTATATGTTTTGGAGGGAAAGAAGAAACTTGAGCAGCAACATTAAGAACTATAAGGTCATCTCATAATTTTTTTAGACATAGAGTCAAAAGTTATATAAATGTTAAACTTTGTATTCTGATTCAGCCTTTTTTGTCTCTTAATTCTGTTCAATGGGTCTTTTTATAATAACATTTTAAAAAATATGTTTTTACTGTTTTTTTTAGAGAGAGAGGGAGGTTAGCAATTTGACACAAATTTAGTGGAGGACTGGAAGGAAACTAAAAGGAATGAAGCCTGGTGAACCTTGGGGAGGGGAGAAGGAGCGTGATTGTTACAATGGTTGAGAACTTAAGCAGACTTTTGTTTGCCTTTAACCCCTGACATAAAAGCACCTCACTAAGCTGACTCTGACAGCTAAGGACTATGATATGGTAGAGTGTGAGTATCCACAGTCATTTCAGATTAGATCCAATTGGGGGTACTTAGGAATCAGGGTACCCTTTTAATTACTTTGGTCTTTGTGTTGGCCATATTTTGGCCATCCAAGGCAGATATATCAACAGTTTAGTAATTGGATATAATTTGAGTTATGTGATATAAGATATAAGAAAATAAAGTGAAAATATTTTATTAATCATCACCTGAGGATATTTTTTTTCATTAATTTTTAGAGTGGAAAGAAGGGCCAGGGGGAGAGAGTGAGAGAGAAACATCAGTGTGAGAGAGACACTTTGATTGGTTGCTTCCTGCACAATTGTAACTGGCGCTGGGATTAATTGTGCAACCCAGGTACATGCCCTTGATCAGGAATCGAACCCACAACTCTTTTGTCAACACTAACTGCTGAATAAAACTGGCTAGGGCTAAAGTGAAAATATTTTAAAGCTATTACTCAACTTGTAGTTCAGTAATTTTTTTCTGTTGTACACATACATGATAATTGTAGAAAATTAAAGCAAATTTTAAAAAGCAGAAAATTATAAATCTTCCATTATGCTCCATTAGTAGAAGAGATAACTAAATTAACATTTTTAAGATATCTCCTTTTTTTTGTATCCTCACCCAAGGACATTTTTTCCATTTTTTTGTTCAGATAGATCGGGAGGGAGAGAGAGAGAGAGAGAAACATTGATGTGAAAGGGACACATCAAGTGGCTGCCTCTTGTATGACCCAACCAGGGCTGGGGACAAACTGCAACCGAGGTATGTGCCCTTAGTGGGAACCAAACCCGGGTGTCTCTGGACCACAGGCCAACACTGCTGAGCCAAACTGGCCAGGGCAAGATATCTACTTTTAAACATTTAAATGTGATATCTATCTATCTATCTATCTATCTATCTATCTATCTAAATATATATAGATATACATATCTATATATATATTTTTTTTAAATACGTTTTTATTGAATTTTTAGAGAGAGAGGAAGGGATAGACAGAAACATCGATGTGAGAGAGAAACATCCTTTGACTGCCTCCTGCACATCCCCCACTGGAGATGGAGCCTACAACCCAGGCATGTGCCTTGACCAGGAATCGAACCGGGACCTCTCAGTCTATGGGATGACGCTCAATCCACTGAGCCACACCAGCTGGGCTGTGATACATATTTTAAAAATTAAAATGCAGTAGCACTGCTTTTAAAAAGGAATCAGTTCTACACATCTTTCTTTATTTCAGTGACATTACAGGCAATAATTAAAATGCATGCATGACTGCCCTGGCCGGTTTGGCTTAGCCGTTAGAGCGTTGGCCTGCGGTCCGGAGAGACCCGGGTTCGGTTCCCGCTAAGGGCACGTACCTCGGTTGCAGTTTGTCCCCAGCCCTGGTTGGTTGTGTAGGTGGCAGCCACTCAATGTGTCCCCTTCACATTGATGTTTCTCTCTCTCTCTCTCCCTCCCACTCTATCTGAACAAAATATCAAAAAAAAAAAATGTCCTCGGTGAGGATAAAAATAAATAAATAAATAAAATGCATGCATGAGTCATCAGTGTGTTTACTCAGTCTCCATTTAGATTCTTGCTAGTTTTCACTGTTCTAATCGGTGTAGTGACAAACAGTCTTATGAATGAATATCTGCAATCATCTTTGATTTTCTTCCCTGGGAAGTAGAAGTGGTATAGGTCAAAGTATAGGCAGAATTTTAAAGCCTTTGGTACTTTTGCAAAATTGCTTCCCAGAAAGGTAGAAACAAGTTATACTTTACCTGTGATATATTTGTTGAATTATTGTGTTTGTTTTATAATTTTTTTCTTTTACTGATTTTTGGAGAGAGAGGAAGGGAGAGAGAGAAACATCGATGAGAGAGAACATCGACTGGTCACCTCTTGCATGCCCCCCACTGGGGATTTGGTCCACAACTTGGGCATGTGCCCTGACCAGGAATTGAACCGGTGACTTGTTGGTGCATGGGTCAACTCTCAACCACTGAGCCACACTGGACAGGCATGTTTTTGTTTTTAATATAGTCAGGAAAAGAATTATCTGCCTATGTCAGAGGCAGGTTGCCTAAGAACTTTATAATGTGATTAACAAGTCATCTCAAATCTGCAACATAATTGTCTTTATTTGTTTTTATCCTCACCCGAGGACATTTTTTTGCATTTATCGTTTTAGATAGAGTGGGAGGGAGTGAGGGAGGAAGACAGAGAGAAACAGCAATGTGAGAGAGACCCATCGAGTGGCTGCCACCCACACAACCCCGACCAGGGCTGGGGACAAACTGCAACCAAGGTACGTACCCTTAGCAGGAACCGAACCCGGGTCTCTCCAGACCGCAAGCCAACACTCTAACCACTGAGCCAAACCAGCCAGGGCAACATAATTGTCTTTAAAAAGAAAAGTTCAAGTTATTTGAGCTAGCTATGATTTTTTTTCCAGCTTTATTGAGAGAAAATTGACAAATAAAATTGTAATATATTTAAATCATACAACATGGTGATTTTGCTATATGTATACATTGTGAAATGATTCCTACAATCAAATTAACACATCCATCATCTCACAGAATAACCATTTTGTTTTGTTTTGATTTTAGGTGATAATGTTTAACATATACTCTCTTAGCAAATTTCAAGTGTACAGAACAATATAATTAACTATAGTTACCATGTTGTACATTAGATCCTCAGAACTTATCCATGTTATAACTGAAAGCTTTTTACCAACCTCTCTCTATTTACCCCACTCCCAGTTTCTGGCAGCAACCATTCTACTTTGTTACTTTGAGTTGGATTTATTTTTAGACTTTACATATAAGTAATATCATGCAGTAGTTGTTATTCTCTGCGACTTATTTCATTTAGCATAATGCCTTCCAGCATTATCCATGTTGTTGTAAATGGCAGGATTCCCTCCTTTTTAAAGGCTGAATAATATTCTCTGTCCGTGTACACAATCATACATACACCACATTTTCTTTATCCACTCATTCTTTTTTTTTAATCCTCACCCGAGGACATTTTTCCATTTTTGTTCAGGTAGAGTGGGAGGGAGAGAGAGGAACAGAGAGAGAGAGAGAGAGAAACATCGATGTGAAAGGAACACATCGAGTGGCTGCCACCCGCACAACCGACCAGGGCCGGGGACAAACTGCAACCGAGGTACGCGCCCTTAGTGGGAACCGAACCCGGGTCTCTCAGGACCGCAGGCCGACGCTCTAACCGCTGAGCCAAACTGGCCAGGGCTGTCCACTCATTCTTTATCCTTTTGTACACGAAGGTTGTTTCCACATCTTGGCTATTGTGTATAATGCTCCAGTGAACATGGGAGTATATCTATTCGAGACAGTGATTCTGTTTCTTTTGGATATATACTCAGAAGTGGGATTGCTGGGTCATATGGCATGAACTAGCCATGAAGGGAAAAGGATAATGGACTTTTTTCAATTAATAAGAACTGTTCTGAAGACTAGGAGGTAACAGACATAAATATAGTCTAGGCCAAAATAGTGATGCTCAGACTTTTATGTATCTAATCACATGGGAAAGTGTGTTAAACATTCAGTGTTTGAGGTCTCACCCAGAGGCAGATAATGGAGACCATACTAAGAAACAACAAATTAAATAAGCACATTAATTAAATCATTTTAAACCTGAAATAGTGGTGCAGTATATAACACCATACATAGTAGCTAGCCTGTTTTATTTTTTATTTTATTTTTTTCTATTTATCTTCAGATAGAGTGGGAGGGAGGAGAGAGAGAAACATCGACGTGAGAGGGACACATTGACTGGTTGCCTCCCGCATGACCCCGACCAAGGCTGGGGATGAACCGCAACTGAGGTATGTGCCCTTGACCAGAATCAAACCCGTGACTCTTTGGTCCACGGGCCAATGCTCTAACCGCTGAGCCAAAGCAGCCAGGGCAAGCTAGCCTGTTTTAAAGAACAAAAGCTGTATCTGAGACTAAGAAAATATTTAGAGTGAGTTTGTTATTCAAACTAGTGTTAAATAGAAACCATAGTAAAAATAATAATTGTTGTTATTAATGTTAAGTAAAATACCATAGTTTAGATCATTTAAATTTATTTCTTAATTTGCTTCCTCCCATTTATTTCTTTTTATCATAGTTAATTTATAGTGTTTTAATTATGATCTTCATTGACTGGACTTGTGCTTTATTCTATCATTTTCATAAGTCTATAGCTGAGAGTGACCTGTTTGTGGCTACATAACGTAATCTCAAACATAATCATCTACCTGGTGACAGCTCCAGAATTATAGGGATAAGCCTACCAAAAATCCAGTTGAAATTAATTACAGTAGTCCTCCTATATCTGTGGTTTCACTTTCCATGGTTCCAGTAACTTGTAGTTAACTGTGGTCCAAATATGTGAAACAGATAATTCTAGAAATAAATAATTTATAAGTTTTTAATGGCGTGCCATTCTGAGTACTGTGATGAACTCTCATGCTGTCTCACCCAGGGCATGAATCATGCGTTTGTCCAGTGTATCCACACTGTATACACTACCTGACCATTAGGCACTTTGGTTATCAGATAGACTGTCATGGTCTCCCAGTGCTGATGTTCAAAGAACACCCTTATTTATTTAATAATGGCCCCAAATACAAGAGAAGTAATGCTGGAAGTTCATATATACTAAAGAGAAGCCATAAAATGCTTCCTTGATATGAAAAGGTGAGTACAGTACAGTAAAATATTTTGAGACAGAAACCACATTCACATAACTCTTATTATCGTATGTTTTTATAATTGTTCTATTTTATTATCAGTTATTGTTTTTAATCTCTTATTGTACCTAATTTATAAATTAAATCTCATTGTAGGTATGAATGTAGGAAAAATTGTGTTTATAAGGTTTGGTTTTAGGCATCCATTGGGGGTCATAACCCCTATGGATTAGGGGAGGAGTACTGTACAGCATTAGGCGCCCATTCTTCATGTGTGGTTAATTCAGGCATTTGTTTCAGGTAATATAATTGGTTATTCAGTTGCTTAAAGACAGGAAATTGGGCTAGATGATTTCTAGAGGTCTTATCAATTTATACTTCATGTTTGTGATGATTGAGCCTTAGAAATTACATGTAGGAGGTGACTATTCCTGGAATAGCCTAGGACTGTGTAAGACACATGATTTCCTGGCTGTCTGAATATGAACTTTCATCAATCCCTTTTCTATATCCATATAACTATCAGAGTTGTTTATAGTATATTTTTAATATCTAGGAGGAAGTGGTGAAGTTGACTGAGAAATGTCTTAATAATGCCATTGAGAGCCCAGGACTGAATGCTAGGAAAGTTCCTCTTGACTTGAAGAGTAACATTTTGAAGGCTCAAGTAGAAGCAGTGCATAAGGTAAGCTGCCTCGACAGAGATAGTCTTGGTGAAGTGAAAAGAACATGAAACTTAGAGTACAGAGACTCTGAAGAACCAACAAAATACATGAATAAAAGACATGAAAGTTAAACAAGAGTGACCTAGCTAGTGATTAGAGATAAGAGAGTAGTACCAAGAAACATACTCAAGATGGCAAAATGCCTTTCCAACTCTAAATAAAAACTAGATTAAGAGGGGCAATCATAGGACACAAAGTAATAGCAACTACCCTCTGGAATTTAAAATGTTTTTTAAAAAGGTAAAATTCTTACAGCAATGAGTTCATAATCTTTGCCTCCTTTATAGCCAGAAAATCTAGAGATTCTTAGGTTCCTGTCAATATTAAGTCTATGATGTTAGGGTTTTTAAATCAATCTGCTATTTCCCCCATCTGTCTACCCACAATTTGGCAAAATTGTGATGTTCTTGGCAACAAGAATGAAAGTTACATAGTGAGAGAGTCCACTGTGACATCATACCATGGGTTGGGACCAGCCCCCATGAAATTTTTGGTATCCATGCTCCCAATATCAGTTTTTCCTTGGCTCTCCCTTACTTTCAAACTTATCCCCTATAGTAAACCAGGACAGAAGCCTGTCTCACCAAACCATGTTGTCAACTAGGATTTAAAGTATCCTGTTGAGAAGATACATTTTACCCATCCTGTCCACAGGCACAAGCCTTGGAAAGAACTGAGAGGACTTGAAGAATGTTGTTAGTGCTTTCATTTATCCTCTTCTCCCAGTATGAATATATGATATGATACAATATTTACATATAAAATATGGCAATCCAGGCTCTGGAATCAGACAATTGAATTTTAATCCTATTTCTGATCTATCACCTACTAGCTTTGTGACTTGGCAAGTTAGTTAATTTCTCTGAGCCTTAGTTTTAATTATATTTTTTAAAAGATAGTGGTAGTACTTGCCTTAAGGTGGGTTATAAGGATGAAATGATAATAAATGTAAAGGATATGGAATAGTGCCTGGTACATCATGAGCGTTTAATAAATTTTGATCCCCACCCAGTGTTGGAACAACATGTAGTAGGTGCTGTTATTACCTGACATTTCAGTCATACTTTTGGATTTTTTTTTTTTTTTTATCCTCACTCGAGGACATTTTTCCATTTTTTGTTCAGGTAGAGTGGGAGGGGAGGAGGGAGGGAGGAAGGGAGGGAGGGAGAGAGAGAGAGAGAGGAGAGAGAGAGAGAAACATCGATGTGAAAGGGACACATCAAGTGGCTGCCACCCGCACAACCAACCAGGGCCGGGGACAAACTGCAACCGAGGTACGTGCCCTTAGCGGGAACCGATCCTGGGTCTCTCCGGGAGCCAAACCGGCCAGGGCATACTTTTGGATATTTTTTGACTTGAAGAAGAGAGAAATAACTTGAATAGCCCTTATTTTATAGTTATAAACCTTACCATGAAAAAAAAATCCAGGACCAGATGACTTCATCCTTGAAATCTACTAAACATTTAAGGAAGAAATAATAACAGTTCTATGCAAACTCTTTCAGAAAATAGAATAGAAGGGAGTACTTTCCAACTCATTTTATGAGACTGGTATTGCCCCAATACCCAAACCACAAAAAGATATTACAAGAAAAGAAACTATAGACTAATCTCTCTCGAATACAGACTCAAAAGTCCTTAACAAGATATAAACAAATCATACTCAACAATTTATGTAAAGGATAGTACATCATGACCAAGTAGTATTTAACTCAGGAAAGAAGTTGGTTATCATTCAAATACCAGTATAGTTTACTAAATTAAAAAATAAAGAAAAATTTCTCAATTCCTGCCAAAAAGGCATTTCACAGAATTCAACCCCCTTCATGATAAAAACTCAGGCAAAGTAGGAATAGAATGAAAGCTTTTCAGCCTGATAAAGGGCATCTATGAAAAAAAAAATCTACAGCTAGCATCATACTTTGTGGCAAAAGATACATTCACTAAGATAGTAGCTAAAATGAAAAACTGACCATTCTTTTGTTGTTAGTGGTGGAGCTCCTGCAGTGCACACTGCTAGTAAGAATAAAAATGCTTAATAAGCACTTTAGAAAAGAGTTTGGCAATGTAGTAAACATTACCAAATTTACCATATGATCCAGCAGTTCCACTCCTAGGTATTTACCCAAGAGAAATGAATATGTAGGTTGAAAGAGATAATGGTATAGGAAAGTTCCTAGGAGCTTTATTGTAATAACTAAAAAACTAGAAACAACCCAAATGTTCATTATCAGGTAAGTAGATAAATTATGGTATATCCATATAATGAAATGCTACACAGTACATAAATTTGATAAATGGACCACTATGGGTGAATCTCAAAAACATCATGCTAGTCTAAAGAGGTGGACACAAAAGATAGGTATAATGATTTCATTTATATGAAACTAGAACGTACAGATAATTGTTTTCCATGTGTAAGGGTTTTGTTGGGATTGCATTGGAAGCCTTAGGGGAGCATTTTGGTGTAGTAACAACATTACATATGTTCATTGTTGTGTTGGTTATGCACCTGTATATATTTTTCAAAATATCCTAAAATATTTCTTGCATTCAGGGAAAAATAAAAGGTCAAATATACTGCTTAACATCTGTTTCTTTTCTATCATGTAAATTTGAAAAATTTGGCTTGGAATCTTTTGGGAATCTGTATACATAGACTAACACACCATTGTCTTAAATAATTGAAAAAGCTATCTAGTAAATTATATGGATTTGTATACTAATATATTGAAGTAGAAGTGTGGAATATTAATTTGCATGTGAGATGGGACTGCACTAGTTGCAGTACCGATATTTCCATAGATAAGGTATGATTACCTCTTTTGGAACTGAAGCAAACTGATATTTTTATTTTTACAGGAAAGAAATACAGGTTTCTTGTTACTTTAGTATCCTCCACAAAGATTTAATGTTTATGATTTTCTTTATATATATACATATACACACACACATATATATATATATAGTTGTTGAAAGTATTATAGATGTCCCCCCTTCCTTTCCCCCATTTATGATTTTATTTTCTTAGGTTACAAGAGAAGATAGCCTATTAAGTCATAAAAACGCCATTGTTCAGGATGCTGCCACAAACAGGTACAGTTCTGGGTAAACTGAATTAAGTGATTTTTTTTTCCTCTTCACTATTTTGGGGGTCCTTTTTTCCTCTTCTCCAATCTATCACCACGTGATTTTACTGAATTAAAGCATGTTCTTTTCCTCTTAACTTTATTTTTTTGTTCTTTTTTCTTCTTCAATCTATCCACCACATGATTTCAGGATATCTATTTGAAAGATGGCTTAAATTCACTCTCTGTCCACTACATAGCTGCTTATTACTTAGCTTTAGATTATTTAAAGATAATCCTAACTAATCTGTCTACATTCTCATTCTTCTTCAACTGATTCAAACTACAGAGCAAAAACAACCTATGCAGATATTTTTAATCTCATAAGGTACCTGGGAGGAATGTATATTATTTTTCTTGGGTATGTATGCTAGTTAACTTTAGTGCCACCCTGTCATCACAGTGGCCTTGTTCTTACACACTTTCTTACTATGGGTTTCATATTCTAGCAAATTTGTTTGCTTTTCTTTTGAAGTCCCTTTTGCCTCTATTTTGTTTAATGAGTATTATGCCATGTCTTATTAGGCTTTTATTTCTTGCACTATGTCAGTTTGTTTGTTTAATCACTTGTGTATTCAATGTTCTTTGCTTAGTTGGTGCTAAACTTGTTGAATGAAGGAATGCTGCTTTTTTTCTCATTATTCAAAACATACTCTGGAGCATTTTCTGATTAATTATATTCGGTTCCAGATATTGTGATGAACTTAGCACTTAAGAATATAGCAAGCAGGCTTTGTATATAAGACTTTACAATTAGTGTTCAACAAACCTACTAATGGGTGATTAGGGTAAACCTGTAATTTCAACTTAACCTTTTCTTTTTTTTTATTCCTCCACTGAGGATATTTTTCTACTTATTATCAGATAGAGTGGGTGGGAAGGAGAGAGAGAGACAGAGAAAAACATTGATGTGATAGAGCCACATCTGCTGGTTGCCTCCCGCGTGACCCAACCGGGGCCAGAGACGAACCTCAAGTGAGGTACATGCCCTTGACTAGAATTGAACTCGTGACTCATTGGTTCACAGGCCAACACTGTAACCACTGAGCCAAACTGACCAGGGCTCAACTTTTAAATTATTTCAATTCCAATAAGTTAGATGACCCACTGCATTATTAATTCTATTGCTATTATTGGAACCTTTTAGAATAACCTTGTTAATATTTTTTCTTTTGGCCAAGAGGAAAGTAATGGTGATAGGGCTTCCCAGTTTCATTGAATTTAAAGCTGGAAGGAGCATAGAATATACTCCAGTTTATTTCCAGATTTATTTTTCTAAATGGCTGTTGTTATTTTCAATAATTTATTTCCTGTCAGAATCTGAAAATGTACTAAGTTCTATTTATTGGGCAAAAACTAAAGTGTTTCCTTTAATTAAGATTGGGAACAAGACTGGAATATCTGCTTTCACTACTCTTATTCAGCATAGCACTGGAAGTCTTATGCACAGAAATCAGACAAGAAGAAAAAATAAAAGGCATTCAAATTGGAAAGGAAGAAGTAAAACTGTTATTATTTGCAGATGGCATGATACTGTATATAGAGAACCCTAAAGATTCCACCAAAAAACTACTAGAACCATACATGAATTCTGTAAAGTAGCAGGATACTACATATTCAGAAACCAGTTGCGTTTATGTGTACCAATAATGAACTATCAAAAAGGGAAACCAAGAAAACAATCCCAGAATTCCAAAAGGGAGGCAGATTAAGTGGAAACTACACTGACTTTTTCCCAGGACCAAACTGGAATTAAAATTAAAATATAAAAACATCATCCTGAATAACCAACTGAGGACAAGCTGGAGAAAATCCTTATAACCAAGCACATTAAGACTGGTAGGAAATATAGAGGTGCAAGAAGGCTGGCTGGGCTCCCACAGAAAGCAACTGAAGTTCTGGAGGTACAGCTCAGCTGCAGGGAGGTTCCCCCTGAGAAGGCTGGCGTCTAAACCCCAAGCTGTGCTCCCCAGCCCAGAGTAACAAAACTGGGAAAGGTGCCACGTAGCACTTAGCTGTGAAAAGCACTGGAGGTTCTGTCTGGCAGGGAGAGATGGCTAGAAACACAGGCACCCTCCTAAAGGGCCAACATATTAAATTTCACTTACAGCCATTCATCTTGGGCTCTGGCAGAGGGAGGGCAGAATGGACTATAGCTGCATGAGGAGAGTCTGGGATTCATGGCTCTGGGGAAAGAGCTGTGAAAACAGCCACCAGGATCCCCATGCTGAGCCATTACCCCACACTGCAAAAGCCATCATTCTTAGGCAGAGTTTTCCTATCAAAGCAGTTTTAGCCTGGGTGGGGAGCAATTGTCCCACCGTGTGGAGTTTACACCCTGCTGAAGACTGCAGCCTGAGGCTGATTGAGTAATGGAGACTAACATTCAGCCTGCAAACAGAGGTAGATGTCTGAGTGCTTTGAATCTTTGCCTGACCTGCTCCTCTGCCTCAGGCTAGTAATACCAGACCTTGGTGTTCAGCTTGGTCCTTTCCATACACATAAAGCCCCAGCAGAGGGAGCCACAAGTCGTAGATTGCTGATAGCTCCAAGAGAAGGTACTCAGGGCCAGTCACAAACACTATCTGACATTGGTCTGCACCAGAGACCTTTTCGAAGAGGTCCAAAACCAATAAACCCAGTGGCCAGCATCAGTCAGCAACAGAGCAGGTCCCAATAAGCTTCACAAGCAGTATATCCACAAGGAGATTTTGGCGGGTTCCAAACCCTGCTGAGGTGAATGTGCTTTGTGTGATAAGCACTGCAAAGAAGATTATGCTGTGTTGGGGGTTGAGCATCACTGTTAGCCACTCTCAGGGTCCAGCCCATGCCTAAATGGGCCAGTAGCAATCAAGACTCCATTACAACAGGAGGGCCCACACAAAGCACAAAAGGGACCTTATTAGAGTATGCAGGTCTGGAGATCAAGGGCACTGGACCACTGGGCCTCACAGGTCACCTGCTACATAAGACCATCCTGCCTGGACTGGGAGTCAAAGCAGATCTACCTAATCCATAGAAACAAACCCAAACAGGCAGCTAAAGTGGGGAAACAAAGAAAAAAGCTCAAGTGGAAGGACAAGAGAACTTTGCAGAAGAGCTAAATGAAATGTCGATAAACAATTTATCAGATATAGTGTTCAGAGTAATGATTATGAGGATGCTCAACAGCATGAATAGAAACTGAAAATCAACCAGTCAGAAATGAAGAATGACACAACAGAAATAAAGAATACACCAGAAGGAATAAACAGCACATTAGAGGAAGCCGAGGATCAGATCAGCAAATTAGATGCCAGGGTAGAAAAAAATTACTCAATCAGAGAACCAAAAAGAAAAACAATTAAAAAACAGGAGGACAGTTTAAGAGAGCTGTGTGACAATATGAAACATAACAACATCTGTATCATATGTTGATAGGAATACCAGAAGAGAAAGTAGCAAGGGTTAGAGAACCTGTTTGAAGAAATAGTGGCAGAAAATTTCCCTAACTTGGTGAAGGAAAAAGTTCAGGAAGCACAAAGAATCCTAAGCAAGAAGAACCCAAAGAGGCCCATGCCAAGACACACATGATTAAAATGCCAGAGAGTAAAGACAAAGAAATAATCTTAAAGGCAGCAAGAGAAAAGCAATGTGTTAACTACAAAGGAACTCCCATAAAGCTGTCAGCTGATTTCTCAACAGAAACACTACAGGCTTGAAGGGAATGGCATGAAATATTCAAGGTAATGAAAAGCAATGATCTGAAACCAAGACTACTCTATCTAGCAAGTCTATCATTCAAAACAGAAAGTGAAATAAAGAGCTACCCAGGCAAAAGAAGGCTCGAGGAATTTATTACCACCAGATCGGCATTGCACAACATGTTAAAGGGACTGCTATAATAATAATAAGAAATATAGAGAGAGAAACATAGCCATATGAATAAAATGACAATAAATAAGTACCTATCAACAATAATCTTAAATGTAAATGGAATAAATGCGCCAATCAAAATACATCAATTAACTGAATGGATAAGAAAATGTGATCCATGTATATGCTGTCTACAAGACACCCACCTCAGAACAAAAGACTCACACACGAAGAAAAAAATGAAGGGATGGAAAAAATTTTCCATGCAAATGGGAATGAAAAGAAAGCTGGAGTAGTAGTACTCATATCTGATAAAATAGACTTCAAAATGAAGGCCATAATAAGAGACAAAGAAGGTCACTATGTACATAATACTAAAAGGGCCCTGGCCAGTTTGGCTCAGCGGTTAGAGCGTCGGCCTGCGGTCCGGAGAGACCTGGGTTCGGTTCCCGCTAAGGGCATGTACCTCGGTTGCAGTTTGTCCCCGGCCCTGGTTGGTCGTGCGGGTGGCAGCCACTCGATGTGTCCCTTCACGTCGATGTTTCTCTCTCCTTCCTCTCTCTCCCTCCCACTCTATCTGTACAAAAAATGGAAAAATATCCTCGGGTGAGGATAAAAAACAAACATAATACTAAAAGGATTCCTCCAACAAGAGGATATAACCCTGGTAAATATATATGTACCCAATAAAGGAGCACCAAAATATATTTAAAGACTTCTGAAGGAATTTAAGGGAAAGAGCAGCAGCAATACAATCATAGTAGAGGATTTTAACACCCCTACTGACATCACTGGGTAGATCTTCAGAGGAGGGGAACGTCTGGCCTATGGGCCATATAAGGCCTATGAAATCAATACCAGCTAATATTACACACCTTACCAAATTGGATTGACCATATAGAGCAGGTTAATTTTTAAGTTGATAATTTTGTATGGCCTGCAAATGATGTTATAAATATCCAAATGGCCCTTGGCAGAAAAAAGGTTCCCCACCCCTGTTAGACAAAATATCAACAAGGAAACAGAGGTCTTAAATGACACACTAGATCGGATGGATTTAATTGAAATTTACAGAACATTTTACCCTCAAGCTGCAGAATGTACTTTTTTTTT